ATAAGAAATAGCAACCGGCCAAGTTACCCCAAAAAGCTTGATTTGCCTGAGTAGACCCACATCTTCCCACTCTTAGTCGGGGACTCTTAATCAGCATTCCCCAGGCCATGACTCCCTAGAGCAGCCATTCTCAACCTTGTTTCGGCCACAGCCATAAACACAATATGAAAGAACTATAGGCCAAACCAGACTTGTGTAAGTCACATAACCAACCTTATAAAGAGATGTATGAAGAATTGTTCCCAGTCTGTGGCCCCCTTCAAATGTGCCAGGGTCCCCCATTGAGAATGACTGCTCTAGAGCATTCCCACCAGTCCCTGCCAGAATGCTAGCTAGGTTTGCTGAGCTTTGCAGTCAGACATATATGGAAGGCATGGTATTTGAGAAGGCTTATCTTCATAACATACCACTCTGCTTGCTCCCACATGATTTAGGAAGCGGAGAAGGGTTGGGCCTGATTTATACTTGGATGAGAGACTACCATGATGGCCACTGATCTTCAGACAGGTTTCGAAAAGAGTCGTGCTTGAAACCCCAGTGAGCCACTGTCAGTCACAGCTATGAATATTTGGCTAGATGGATCAAGGGACTGATCACACTGAGGCAGTTTTCTATGTTCTTTGTCAAGCAATACAATTGTACCAGCACTCACTTTACTTTCCCCTGATATTCATGGGTATCACTGTGGACCCTTCTTAAACCCTCCTAGCTCTGCCAAAGCATGGATGGATGAAAGCTCATTCCATGCACAGTGATCCTGAGATTTAGCTCTCCTAGTCCTAGGAAGAAGGGAGTCCCTGAACTGAATCTTTCTTTTCAGTTCAGTGCTTCTCAACCTTGGGTCCCCAGATGTTCTTGGACAACAACTCCAAGAAATCCTGGCCAGCAGAGCTCATGGTTAAAGGCTTCTGGGAGTTTTAGTCCAAGAACATCTGGGGACCCAAGGTTGTGAACCACTACTCTAGTTACTGATCGTGGAGCCAATTAGAGGCCCACTTGCAATGATGCAACTGTTATCACAGCAAGCTTGTCACTCATTAGTTACCGTGCAGCAGATACACCTCTGTATAATAGCAGCCAGCTGTTTTTTCCATGCCCTTGACTTGTGAGCTAGGAGCATCAGTTTGGTGTCAGTTAGAAAAAGCATGACCAGTGCTCAAAATGTGGTGGAATAACTTGGAAGAACAGGGGGGTTTTTTTGGACTACACATCCCAAAATCCAGAATAAGAACTCCTGAGAAATGTTGATCCAAAAGGAATTTCCCCCAAACTCTAGATGTAAGATGAGATAGGATGCCTTCCTCCTTCTTCCCAAGGGGGCACAATTAGGTCACACCCACCCATTCCACTGCCACTCAACCCCAACCTCTTTCCTCACTTTAGGAACTGGACTAAATGGATTTTTAGGTCTGGCACTGCTGTGCTCTTTCTGTTCTGAACTGCTGGCAAACAAAACAGAGACAATTATTTCCATAAGAAAGAAGGGGTGGGAGAGAGAGAGAGAAGGCAGTGAATACCAGACCCCCCAATCCACTGTATCCTTTCCCATTTCTCATTGATTTGATTATGGCATTCAAAAGGCAGGGTCTCCTAGTGGTTCAGGCCCTGTTGCCATTTGCTTATGTGATATCTAGTCCAAATAGGCAAGGCAGTCTGTGGGATAAAACTGAAAACTTCTAGCCATGACAAATAACAAATCGAACTTCTGACGCCAAAACTCTCAAGATGGTAAAAAGGGAAGTTTAACCACTGGGAAACAAAACCACTGAGTAACATACAATCAGTGAGGTAAAATCCTCGGTGTTGTTATTATTAGAGCTTGTGATCCTGGTTGTCTGATTTGGTGGAAACAGGCCATGAGAACATACAGCTCACAGGCCTTTAAAGAAAAATAACCAACAACAGCCATTTCCTTTACCCTAAATAAATAGTAAGCTTAAGCAACGTTTAAAATTAATGTCAGGTCACCACAGGCTTACTCCTATCCAAACTAATCATTATAATCCTCCTCTCTCTCCCATTCAGGCTCCGAACATATAAATCCTGTCCAAATCAGTCCAGACAGGCTGGATGGCGATGTAGTCAATAAAAACTTCCAGCATTTGCACCTTTTCATCCTCCCATTAAGATGATGCCCGCTGACTGGGGAGTTCCCCTGAATGTGACTAAGCTGTCTGGGCTTGGTGGAAATAAGCAGGTAGGAAGAGAAATTCATCTCTCACATATTGGCTGATTTATCCGATTGACTGATTTCTGTTGTGTTTCTGCGACACAGTAGCTACTTTCTCAAAAACGGGTTGCTCCCTTCTCAAAGCTCCTACTTGTCATGAAGGCACCAGCTTCACCTTTTGGTCCTCAGCCCTTCTTCAAATTATGCTGAAGCATGCAATCCTCTTCCAACTAACGTCCGACTCGGCACCCTCAAACGGAGTGGCGCTCTCACCTCCGTGCCTGCACATGGGTGGGCAGTGTGGGCCAGTGACTGCAATTCAGGGCAGGCCCTCTCAGAAGGGAGAGCCATTTAGTTCATTGCCTTTTCCTCCTCAGTAAACAGAGCAAGGTGGCCACCTGACGCTGGACCAAGCACGGACTCTGCCCTTGTTTTACCCTAACAGCCATCATCCCATTTCACACACACCCGTTTTAAATTTTACATTACAGATGTCTGAGAGCAATGACCCTTGTTATAACACTCAATGTATATTGATGAGACTAGAGGGGGTTCATGGTGGGCATTCCCCAGCCTCCTTCCCTCCAGATGTGGTGGACTACAACTCCCATCATCCTCTTTCAGCAGGGCCATGATCACTGGGGTCATAACCCTACCCTTGTGGAGGGCTGCAAATAAGGAAGGGAGGAGTTGTTACAGGGAGAAGCAGCAAAGGCAGCTCCTTTTCCCCTCCAAGCCAATCCTGCTGTCAGGTCTCTTGAGTACAGAATGTTGCATAATCAGCATTAAAATAAAGTATGGTTCTAATACTGCAGTAGGAAAGTACAGAAAGTCAGCATTAAAATAAAGTATGGTTCTAATAGTAGGAAAGTACAGAAAGTATTTTCAATTTCTCTCACACACACACACACATACACACACACTCTCTCTCTCTCTTTCTCTCTCCTCTCTTACTTCTTCTTCATTATTTTATTGCTTTGGAAAGCCTGAGAGTTCCAACTGTATAAATGCCAATAACATCCCAAGGTTTTTGTATGTGTGTGTGTTTTATTTTTTTTATTTTTTGAAGGCGGCTGCTGCTGAAGTAAGAGATCAGATTTTAGCAAGTGCTTTAGAGGCAGCCGGCCAAAAAAAGTCTTCTGATTCAGTAAAAGCAACAAGGGGATAGGGCGAGGGAGAAGGGAAAGATCTAGGTGGGGATGGGGGAGATGAAAGCGTGGGGGGGGGGAGAGAGAGAGAGAGAGAAAGAAAAGACGCCAGTTGATTAA